GCTCGACATCTCTGCTCTTCTCTTTGGTGTCACAGCTGTGTCCTTCCCTCCTCCCTCCGCCCAGGAGGAAGGCGCTGGGGGGGAAGAAGGACCCCCCTGCTGGGATAAGGGTCCTGGGTACCCGTGTCCCCCCTGCTGCCGGCCCAGGGATGTTGGGGCAGAGCAGGGCCCGGATCACAGAGGGGATGGCACCCCAGGCACCTGCACAGCCCCCTCCATCCTCGACTCACCCCACACTGGCTGGGTCTGGCCACCACCCCCACAGCCTCCGAGCCCGCCCAGGGCCACCGCTGCCACCCCGGGATCAATCCCAGGGCTTGGAGCCCTCGCACCAGAGCTGCAGCTTCTCCTCCTGCAGCCATCCCTGCCAGCCCCGTTGCCATGGCATCCTCAGGGATGGCACGGATGCCGGTGAGGAAGATAAGGGAGGATGAAGGTAGGTGGACACGTTGGCTCTGCATAGCCAGGATGGGGCAGATCCAGAGGCCTTCCTGCAGCAGGCAGGGGCTGCTCCTGGTCCTGTTCCCTCCCTGGATGTCCCAGCTCTCCGGGATAACTGCCAGCAGCGGTTCCTGGAGAGCCCTCTGCTCTCCAGCCTCACCAGTAACCGCAGGAGGTGCTGGGCTGGTCTCAGCAGCTTCTGCTCTCCCTGCGGATTGACAGGGACCTGGGAAGGAATCGGCACCTGCAGACACCCTGGATTATAAAGTGAGGTGAGGGCTGGTGTCCCCAGGCCCACCCCTGCTCTGTCTCCCTCCCTCCCTCCCCGATCACCTTTTGGAGGTCTCAGACAGCGCCGAGATCCACACCTGGGCCAGCAGAGACCAGAGAGCGCGCCTCGCTGACGCTGCTCCCACAGCGGAGGGGAGAGCACAGGGTTAAACTGACATGACACAGGTGACACTTTCCAGGTGCCTCTACACCTCCCTGGGCTCAGCCAAGTCCCCTTCGTGTCCACTGCCCCAGTAATCCTGCCAGGGACCAGGGATATTTAGCCTATCACCCATTTAACCAAAATCTCCCATTTTAGGCACATCCCTGCTCATTTTCACAGCCACTGAACTTCATACTGGGTGCCTGGAGAGCTGGCACTGGGCCTGCAGCACCCTGAGCCCCGGTACCCGGGAGCAGGGACCGTCCCCCCCAGATCCCCCCGTGAATCCCCAGGGGGTTCAAGCGCAGCCCAGGGAGCGGCACAGACATTAATCAGCAAATCATTATGAATAACTAATAGCTCTGGAAAAAAAAATGCAACTGTGATCATGTGCGAATAGGAAGGGGGGGGGGGAAGGGCATCTCCCTTAATCACTCATTATGAATTATTCAGCAAAAGAGGAAGCAGAAGGCAAACAGCAGCGATTTCTGTAGGAAGTGGGGGGAAGGGGGGGTATCATCAGCGCTCACCCCCCTTCCACAGCCCCCCCGGGCCCTGCTCCCAGCAGCCCAGCCCTGGCAGGGCTCTCCCCAGCCTGGCACATGGTGGCCCATGTCCAGCCCTGCCCCGGAGCCCAGCGCAGGCACCCGGCCACCGCAGCCCCTCTCCGGGCACGCAGCCATGGGGGGCTGGAGACACCGAGCTGGTCCCCCCCTGCTGGGAGCAGAGCCAGGGCATCTCCTGCCCCACCGACACATGGAACCCCTCAGGTCAGGCTGGTGGAGCAGGAAAACAAACTCCTGGGTCCGAATATCTGCAAGGGAAGGTCACTCCTGCCCTCTCAGCCGGCACCGGTCCCAGCAGCGCTGCAGCCACCTGGGCGGGGGGCAGGAGAGCCCCCCACCACCACCAGGGCTCCAACAGAGGGACCAAACTAAGGGGAACAGCAACGTACAGAGATGAGGAAGGGCTGCTTGCAGGCGGGGAGAGGGATGTCAGCCCCCCTTCACTTGTTGGACACCCTAATTGAGAGGAGAGCAACTGGGAGGGGTAACTGGGGCCTGGAGAAGGTTGTGTGTGACTCATGGTGTCCCCACAGCCCCTGCTTCCAGCCCTGGTCACCTCTCCCCGCAGCAGCTCTTGCTGCACCCCCAGAACAAGCTACTCACATTTTTAAACATCTCCACCAAACCTTTCCATGAAGCTGCTGGCAGATCTCCTGCCCCGTGGGACATGGCCAGGCCAGGCTCTGCAGGGAGAACCCACGGGTGGGAGATGGGGACCCTCGGCACGAACCAAGGAGCTGGTTTCCACCTGCCTGGGGTCATTGCTGTCACCTCAGCCCGTAGTGGGGCTGCAGCTTCCATCCCCGATGGCACCTGCGAGTGCCAGGGCAAAGGCAGGGCAGAGCAGACAGAACCAATTTATGAAATACCAAAAAGCAGTCTAAGTTGCCAAGCACTTATGTAATCCCACATTACAGAAGCGTGTTTGGGGAGAAGCCACAAGTGGTGCCGTGGGGCAGGACCACCAGCTCCACCCCAGCAGTAGCCCCGGGCACGGCACAAGTGGCCCTGCCCGCACGGCTGCCCAGTCCTGGCACCCAACCCCTGGCATCTCTGATGCCCCAGGACCCCCCACTGCTCCCTCCCGTGCTGTGGGTGTCTGTCACCCCTCCCTCGGCTCCCCAGACCCCAGGGACCCCCCCCCAGCCCTGGTCACCTCTCCCCGCAGCAGCTCTTGCTGCACCCCCAGAACAAGCTACTCACATTTTGAAACATCTCCACCAAACCTTTCCATGAAGCTGCTGGCAGATCTCCTGCCCCGTGGGACGTGGCCAGGCCAGGCTCTGCAGGGAGGATCCACGGGTGGGAGATGGGGACCCTCGGCACGAGCCAAGGAGCTGGTTTCCACCTACCTGGGGTCATTCCTGTCACCTCAGCCCATAGCAGGGCTGCAGCTTCCATCCCTGATGGCACCTGCGAGTGCCAGGGCAAAGGCAGGGCAGAGCAGACAGAACCAATTTATGAAATACCAAAAAGCAGTCTAAGTTGCCAAGCACTTATGTAATCCCACATTATAGAAGCGTGTTTGGGGAGAAGCCACAAGTAGTGCCATGGGGCAGGACCACCAGCTCCCCCCCAGCAGTAGCCCCGGGCACGGCACAAGTGGCCCTGCCCGCACGGCTGCCCAGTCCTGGCACCCAACCCCTGGCATCTCTGATGCCCCAGGACCCCCCACTGCTCCCTCCCGTGCTGTGGGTGTCTGTCACCCCTCCCTCGGCTCCCCAGACCCCAGGGACCCCCCCCTCGACTGGGCACAAGGGCACCCACTCCCCAGGGGGCTGCTGGGGCCGCTTTCTCTGGGGGTGGAGAACAAGCCCCCGCTCCTGGGCAGAGCCTGCGCTCGTCCTGCTGAGGCAGCTTCCCTGGTTCTAAATTTGGGTATTTTTAAAGTACAGCTTTTCTACAAATAATCTGGTGCGTGTGCATCCCTCTGAAAATGGACAAACACAGACATTTCCAGGGCTTCTCCAGCCAATTTCACGGGCTGCTGAGAAGTCTCTGCGCTACTGGGGGTAAAGAAGCTGCCATAGAAAGTATTACTAAATGTTTGCTAATTTAATAAAACCTACTTAATTTCTCTGCTAGCACTGATTATTATTGTTATTATCATCTTTTACCAAAGAAGGTTGCAATTTTAGATTATATTTCAGCAATCACAAAAGAAATTTTCCCCTAATGTTAATCTAATCTAAGAGAGTGCTACAATAAACACGGGCACAGCAGCAGGTCGGTGAATTACAGACCCGTGTGTAACCATGTGCTTATTGTGCATTTATGACCATTTCCCCACCTTCCACCCAATTACCTGTTTCTGCTGGGACTGGTCCCTAAGGAGCCAATCTTCTCGGCGGCCACAGAGTAAAATGATTTGGAGGCTGCAGAAAAGCCTTTTTCTGCCTGGATTTGGGGCCCGGCGAGGTGTGCGCAGGGACAGCGCGGAGCGGTGCTCCCGGTAACCTCCCACCGCCCTTGGGGGAGCTTTGTGCCCCGGAGAGCAGCACGGGGGGGCGGGGGGGCTTCCCCCCGCGCAGCACCGAGCACTCGGGGACCCCAGAGGCAGCGTCAGGCCACAGGGTCAGTCATTGACTTTGGGGGCACCCCAGGGGGTCTCCAGGCAGGGTCAGCCCCGGGCTCTGGAAGCGGGCAGAGCGTGCAAATACACTTGTGCAAGGACATAAAGACTCGGGGGACACACACCCCCGAGGATGCCCCCCACGGAGGGACACACCCCCGCAGGCAGGCGCCCCGCACACCCCCACGCGTGCACACGGAGGCACACGCACGGCTCTGTGCCCGTCACACACACCCCCCACACACCGGCACGGACACTGACACCTCCGACGTGCGCACACACACACCCCCGCACGCACGCTCACCCCCGCGGACCCACAGCCCCGCACACGGGTGGGCACGGACGCCCCCGCACACGCCCACACACCCCCCGCTCGCCGCCCGGCACACGGACGCGCACCC